ACCTTTGACCTTAGTTGCTTCTCCATTGGCGACACCCTGCTGGCACGAACTAGTATATTTCGGACAAGGAATGTTCCAGATTAGCATAATTTTTTTCTTTTTTTTTTTTTTTTTTTTTTTTATCGGAGGGCTCATATTTACATACGTATTCCAGTACCCAGTTCAATATCTACTGTTATTAGGTTGGTGCAAAAATAATGACGTAATAATGTCGTTTTTGACGTTAAAAATACGTCAAAAACGACATTATTACGTCATTATTTTTACACCAACCTAATATTTTATTATTATTATTATTATTATTTACAGCGATATACCTATATTTTTTATCTGACCTGTTTGTTCAAAACGTAGGCTAACATGACTCTCCACAACTTCCTCTTTTTTGTTGCTATACATGTCATCGTCGACTTTGTTTCACTCGGTAGGTCGTAAATCGATCTGGTCTTAAGTCGGCCTGTAATTAATTTTGCAATATTTTTATCTTTCTTTAAACATTATTATAGTGTAGTTGTTAATAATTGTTACGGCTTCTTTATGTTTCATACGATTCCTGTCATCTCTCTACACATTGATTTGTTTCTTTTTTTTACATTCGTCGGGTTGATGTCAAACACTGCACACTGCACTACAGGTGGGTTGATATGCGCTAGCATAGAACAAATGAAGATACAACTGCAAAATTAGAAGACACGAAGCTGGGAAACGCTCAGGTTGTCAGACGCAGAGCAGTTGTGGTTAGACGGACAGACATACCAATTTGCGCTCGTGGTCGTAAAGTCGAACAGTCGTAAACTCCTATAGGTCGTAAGTTGAGGACGATCAGTAAGTGACTTGGGACTACGTAATTACACCGGTCTACCCATGAAAAAAAATTGTAGATTAGCGTTCTTTAGACGTTCCTTAGGCCGAAAATCTTGATAGAATTTTAAAAAAAACGATTCCTAACTCTTGCAGATATATCTGGCCTTACATTTTTGTTTACAAAAGTCAAGTTTGAATCTTTGCTTATCAATTGCTATCTGCGAACGAAGACAAACGTTGTAATTTTATAAAAAATAATTGCAGTTGAAGAGAAAAATAAAAATAGCGCAGGGATTCAGCTGACAGATTTCAGTCAACTAGTTCGAGGCTTTAGTTTTTAAAGGATATGTCCCATGACCCGGGGTGGTAGCACCTGTTAGGGTCCCAGCTATGGGCAAATAGTAAACTCCAAGTCTAGCCCGCGTTCTGGGTATGACGATAAACTACATCCGAGTCCATGGGTATGACGGTAAACTGCTTCCGCGTCCTGGGTATGGCGATAAACTACATCCACATATTAGGTATGGTGATAAACTACGTCAAACAGAAAGACCGTTTTTGAAAAATTAAGGTTGTCGGCTGTACGGTTTTGGAAAAGTAGTATTACCAGCTCTACGTTTTCGATGGAATAATATTACCAGCAGTGTGTTTTTGAAAAATTATATTACCAGCCATACGTTTTTGGAACAATAATATTACCAGCTATGCGTTTTTGGAAAAAATAATATTCCCAGCTGTACGTTTTTGGAAAAATAATATTGCCAGCTCTACTTTTTTGAAAAATAATATTCCCAGCTAAACGTTTAAAAAAAAGAAAAATATTACCAGCTATATGTCTTTTAACAAAATCTTATTCAATGGAATTGTAACTGGGGTCAAAACACAGTGAAAGGTTGATGTTTTTTTTTTTTTTTAAAATAATGTTGCCAGTTATGCGTTTTTGAAGAAAAATAATGTTGCCAGCTATACGTTTTTCGAGAAACAAAATAATGTTGCCAGCTATACGTTTTTTGAAAAAAAATAATGTTGCCAGCTATACGTTTATGAAAAAAACATAATGTTGCCAGCTATACGTTTTTGAAAGAAATAATGTTGTAAGCAGTACCAAAATCATTTTCGGCATAAAGGGACCACTAAGGTTGGAATGCCGTTAAACAAAACAAACAAACAAACAAATAGATATGTCACCCATGTTGACTGGAATAAGAATTTTTATTGGAACTCTATAAAAGCCAAGTTTTTATTTGTTGGTAAATATTGGTAAATTTTATTCCAAGAACAGGTAAATATTGCTTGCTCATATTTCGGGAATAGTTAAATATTGGTTGTTCATATTTCAGGATTAGGTAAATATTGTTTTTTTAATATTTGGGGATAAGTACATATTGCTATATATATGAGAATTGTTAAATATTGCATGATTAACTTTCGTCAATACGTAAATGTTACTTTTTTCATATTTTGGGATTAGATAAAAATGACTGTTCATATTTCAGGATTAAGTAAATATTGCTTATTAGTTAAATATTGCTTGTTTATATTTCGGGATTAGTTCTATATACTTTGTCCTTATTACGGGATTAGGTAAATTTGCTTGTTCATATTTTGTAATTAGGTAGATATTGCCTGTTCGTATTTTGGGAATATGTGAATATTGATTATTCACATTTGAGGATAAAGTAAATATTGCTTGTTTACCTTTCGTAAATACGTAAATATTCTTGTTCAAATTTCGGGGATAGATAAATATTGCTTGTTCATATCTCGAGATGAAATAAATATTGCTCGTTCATAATTCGGGATGAGTTAAATATTGCTTGTTCATATTTCGGCTCAGTGTGACACTATTTAGCGGTTGCGTGAAAATTAAAAGCGAGAAATAATTAAGGCGAGAAGAAGCTATCACGAAAGACATATTAAGCGATGTTATTTTTTTTAACAAAGAAAAGTGGTAAAGATTTTATTTTCATCTGCGAAAAAAAAGTTTTTTTTTTTCGCAGAGGATAGGAAATTCGTAAGATCTCGGATCTGTCGGAATTAAGTTATGCTATGACGCGGCGAATAAAAGATAGCAATCTGCCCATGGCAATAATGAAAATTTCAAATTGGACAAGTGGCCTACAAAACAGAATGCTGGAAGATAATCATAATCAGGTCACGCACCGACCGAGGAAGGCATCAGCTGAGACCACCCCCAAAGGAAAAGAGAAAGGGAAAGAATAAACCATTAACTATCTTTCGGAGATATCATTTGGTTTTGGAGAGTCACCTGTTTTATATCCAGACCTGGACATGATAAAAGTTTGTTGCCGGGACAGATTGCTGGCAACAGGGTGCGAAGACGTCCAGTTGACCACCCATTTGACACTTGGCGAAAATCTCGATGATAAATTCCAGATGACATTCGGTTAAGATAGAGATTAAGGACCACACTACGAGTCGTAGGGGTCTGGTCGAGGGAAAAAAAGAATGAAAAAAAGGAAGATAATTTTTTTTTCCTTTGAGCGATAATTGAAACTGAAACCAAACTGGCCACACCCACGCTGCCGAGCGTTCATTGGCTGAGTGGTGGCGTGGGCGAAGGTAAACATATGAGAAGGAGGGGAGGCATGTTGACGCCTCCGAGGGGATTGGTGTGAGATACCACTATGAGAAAGAAGGGAAACCTGTTGACGCCCTCTGAGGGGATTGGTGTGAGATACCAATATGAGAAAGGAAGAATTTGGGAGGACGATTCCCTTAAGAACCCCTCTAAAGCAGAAAGTAATGGACTTCCAAAAATGGAAAGTGATAAATTTTCCTGTCTGAAAACAAAGAAAATCCTTATTGTGGATTTAGAATTATCGAGGAACCCAAACCACGACAGGCCCACACCCGGTTTTGGTCGGCGTCCATATAAGCATAGTTCGGAATTAAGACAGCAGACGCGTACAGACGCAGACGGTGTTGAGCTGTGAGCTCAAAGACCAGCCTCGCAGGAAGCTGACTGAAAGATCCACGCATTCCGACTTCGACTTCTAACCAAAAACAATTTATTTTTGAAGAACGACTTAGACCCCTATCACCAAAACAAGTTTTACGAATATCGCCTGAAGACACAAAAAAACAGTTATTGAGAAACAACTTAAGATATTAAGATTCGCCTAACAAACGCAAAGTGTCACGTATCCATAGAAGCGGTTTAGGAGAAAGACGCAGTCCTGTATTCAGAAACAAGATATAAAAATATTTGTTATTCTTTTTTTTAACACATTTGAATCTTTCGAGTTGTTACTTTATTTTCTTTTACATATACTTGTGCGATGTCACCTTTGCTCAAATTCGGCTTGCATTACGGCCCGGCGACTGATTGATTTCATCTGCCTGGGATCAAATCGCAACTTGGGTGGGTTGGACTGGAAATCAAAGCAGTTGCTTCGGTAGCCGGACGTTGGAGGCGAGCTGGGAACGACAGGGCTGATGCTGAGTCTGACCAGATTCCCATCCGAATCAGCCAAAGTTTAGAACATCACGTTTGGTGCCGCGACCAATACCAAGTCACGGGGGCAGACAGGCCGGGGTGACGTCACATTAGTAAATATTGCTTATTCCTATTTAGGAATTTGGTATATATTGCTTGTTCATATTTCGTGATTTTTAAATATTGCTTTTTTATATCTGTGGATTAGGTAAATATTGCTTGTTCATATTTCGGGAATAGTTAAATATTGGTTGTTCATATTTCTAGATTAGTTAAATATAGCTTGTTCGTAGTTCGTGATTATGTAAATGTTCCTTGTTCATATTTCAGGATTACGTAAATATTGCTGCATATTTCGGGATTAGGTAAATATTGGTTGTTTATATTTCGGGATTAGGTAAATATTGCTTGTTCATATTTCGGGATTAGATAAATATTGTTTGCTCCTGTTTCCTGATTAGTATATATTGCTTTTGATTATTCCGTAATACTTAAATATTGGTTGTTTATATTTCGGGATTAGGTAAATATTGCTTGTTTAAATTTTGTGAATATTTAAATATTCCTTGTGTATATTTCGGTAACAATATATACATATTGATCTTTTATATTTGAACTGTGCAGTTTCGGAGCTAAGTATATAGAGTTGCCCAATACGTAAAATCTGAGTTTGAAGTTTTCCAACGGATGTTTCACGGATACTGCGAACAGTTTCCAGAGTATACAGTTGGCAGACCGACAAAACTGAATTAAATCAGTTTGGTAATTCTGAGCGATAGATATTATGCCAATGAAGAGAGAGAGAGAGAGAGAGAGAGAGAGAGAGAGAGAGAGAGAGAGAAAGAGAGACAATGCGAAGTGTGGGAATAGGGTGCACGTAGAGAAAGGGACAGGTAGGCAAGATTTAGCATGTATTCCAGACTTTTCCTTTTTTGTTAAGTACATCTTTAAAAGGAATAAGAAAAACAGGGTCGCAATTACTTGAACAGAATAATTGATTCGCCAAATACAAGACAAAAACGTTTCATGTGGGACATTCCCATATTTTGCTGAATGGTAGTTAAATAAGTGTGAATAGGTAAATATTGTTCGTTTATATTCCAAGAACTGACAAATATTTTCGTTTTTATTTAGTCAAATATAGGTAAATAGTTAAATATTTTGGAAATGTCAAAACATTTATCGTGCATATTTCAGGAATAGTTAAATATTCCTCGTTCAGATTTCAGCAATAAGTAAATATTCGTCGTATATATTGCGGACTAGTTAAATATTGGTCATTTAGATTTCAAAAATAAGTAAATATGTATCGTTTATATCCGTGGAAATAGTTATTATTGGTCAGTTAGATTTTGGAAATATTTAAGTATTTTTCGTAAATATTTCAGAAATAATTAAATATTCATCATTTTTGATTTCGGTGAAAGGTAAATTTTAGTCGTGTATATTTTGACAATCGTATATATTGGTCGTTTTTATTTCGTGAATATATAAATATTGGTCGTATATATTTTGACAATAGTATATATTGGTCGTTTTTATTTTTAGGAATAGTTATATACTGGTCATTTATATTTCGAGAATAAGAAAATATTGGTCGTTTATATTTTGGGAATAGTAACTACAGGTCGTTTACATTTCAGGTGCAACAAAATATTGCTCGTTTAGATTTCGAAAATAGTTAAAAATTAGTCGTATATATTTCGAAAATAGTTAAATATTGTCGTTCATATATGTAGAATAGTTGAATATTGGTCGTTTATCTCTCAATAATTTTTAAATAATTTGTCGTTTATACTTCGGGACGGGTTAAATAATGGTTAGATATATATTGAGACTGTTATGAATAATCAAGACTTGTCTCCCCTTGTTTCGTTACTCTCCTCTTTGAGAGAGCTATTTCTGCTTACTGGGATTAAATGACTATATACGAACTTTGTATTCTCAGTTGAATAAATCTTACTTAATGCCTACACCTGCGTAATTTTCTCATTTCAGGGACTAGTTAAATATTAGATTTTAGATTTCATGGAGTAGGCTCATATTGGTTTGTTGTATTTTTGGAATCGGTTAAATATTGTCCGTTTAAATTTCGGGAATATTTAAATATATTTTGGGTATAGTAAATAAATATTGATCGTTTGTATTCGGAGGAATAGGTGAATAGTTGTTTAGATTTCGAGATTAGGTTAATAGGAGTTTTAGATTTTTCGGCAATATGTAATTATTAGTCATACATATTTTGAGAATAGGTAAATATTGGTCGTTTATATTCCTAGAATTGACTCATATTGTTCGTTTTTATTTGGGGACTAGTTAAATATAGGTCGTTTATATTATTGGAATAGTTAAATATTGTCCGTAGGAATATTTTTCGTTTACATGACAGAAATATGTTATTTTCCGAATAGGTAAATATTTCTCCTTTATAGTGATTTTCCAAGCGTAGCTTAGACGTGGCCCAAGGCATAAAGTAGAGGGCATCCAGTGAGGATCGAACTCACTACTCAGTCGTAATTGATCTAGCGAGACACGCTTGCTAATCATTACACCGCCTGAAGGTGACCCATATTGCACGTTTATAACATAGGTACCTCCACGAAATCGCTAAAAAAAAAAGAGCATAGCTTGATGAAAAAGACGCCAACCTTGCCGAAAACAAAAGTTTATCGACTAAATGCTTATGTTATTATTAAGAGGAAAGACCAAAGGTTTTTTTTTTAAATTATTTTTAAAAAATTTTCATTCTTTTTAGAACATTCTAAATTTTGATTAAAAAAAACATTTTTCTCTTGGTATCACCGGAACTAGTAAAATAATATAGACAATTTTTAGCACGTTTTTTTTCTCTTTTTTTTTTTTGGTATGACACACATTAATTTGGAAAATCTTGCAAAAATAAAAATAATTGTCGGATGTTAATAAAACTTCCAGGAACTATTCACAGATGATCGAAATCCAAAATATTCCAAAAATATAAACATTTTTGGAATGGTTAAATATTGTCCGTAGATATATCAGGAATATTTTTCGTTTACATTACAGAAATAGGTTAATATTGATTGGTTATATTTTCGGAATAGGTAAATATTGCTCCTTTATAGTTATTTTCCAAGCGTAGCTTAGACGTGGCACAAGGCCTAAAGTAGAGGGCATCCAGTGAGGATCTACCGAGACAAGCTTGCTAACCATTACACCGCCTCGAGGTGACCTATATTGCATATTTATATCACGAGTATAGATTAATATTGGTCGTATTTATTCGGAGGATAAATAAATATTGTTCGGTTATATTTCCTGAATACGGAAATATTCGTCGTTTCAATTTAAGGAATAATTAAATATTGGTCATTTAGATTTGGAGAATAGTTAAAAATTGGTCGTTGATATTTTAGGAGTAGTAAGTGTTGGTCGTTTTTATTTAAAGAATATTTAAATACTGGTCGTTTAGATTTCGAGAATATATAAATATTTGTCGTTTATATTTTGGGAATATGTAAATATTATCCCTTTGTTTTTGAGTTGGTTCACGAAGAGGTATATAGATTTGCCAAGTCCCTAAAATTGAAATTTGAGACAAATGAGTCTCACGTTTTCCAACGAGTGAATAATGTCGATTTGTTGCTAACCAGGCTGTTCACAGACTTCCTTAAGGGTTCCCCGAATATACAAAAATGAATTAAATTTATTTGGTAAATTTAACCGCTAAAAATTGTAAAAAAGAAAGAGAGAAAGGCGTGAAAAAAGAAAGTAGAAAAAGTTGCAGACTGACAATATATTGCACGTATTCCAGTCGTTTGTTTTTATTAAGTACATCTTTAAAAAAATAAAAAGTAACAATATTTATGCGCAATTATTTCACTAGAATAATTTATTCTCAAAATTCGGGATAAAACATGTTCTTCAGCATGAAAATGCAGAACAATTGTTGTATGGTTGGCAACCCTATTGGTAAATAATTATTGTTTGTAAAATGAGTCTATAAACCTTCACTTAGATCAGGAATAACTGAATATTTGTTCATATTTACGTCTCTAATCGTTTACTTGTTAAATGGGGGATCACTTTGCTGGGAATGCAGGGACATTCAGGCCCCGTCGACAGCATTTAATAACGTTTGTCCAGATATTATGTATGACAAAAAGGTCTCAGATTCCTATTGTTCATACATTTCCTTTTTAATGCAGAGATGGTGATGCTTTTTCACGGCTTCCTTTATTTTGTTGCACGCAGCTATGATTTCTCCTTTCTGACATATTTTCTATTTAGGCAGACTTGCCAATTCGGATAATCATTGTCGTTATCTGCTTCTCTTGAATTTTACAACTGTGAGTGTTACAGATTCCATGCAATCTTCTCTCATTAATTGGCCTAGAATTTTCTTGAAAACCACAACAACTATCAAGTCAGCATTTAGTCTCCTTCAAAGTTGTCCCCTTCTAGAGCCACATACTTTATCCAGCCTCGTTTCCATTGTTGAAAGCATTGCTGGAACTCCTTCTTTGTGATAGCAAGCAGCTTCCTTGTCGCATTCTGTTGGATTTCCTCAACAACTTAAAATCTTGTTCCTTTCAAGTCCTATTTGATACTTGGTAAAAAGGAAAAAGTCACAAGGGCCGAGATTTGAGGACTATGGTGGTTAGTCAAAACCGCATCACAAGCCATGTTCACTGATGGGATCTCTGTGGTGTAGTGAGACGACCACACTCTACACACTTTCCTTCCAAGCAATGCTATAAACAATAACAGTGAGTGAGAACGTTATAACTTAGCGTGTATGCTCCACGTAATTCAAGGTCAATCTTTGCCAAGAGACTTCATTCTGTGTACTTTAGCTCCGTTACCATAGCAACAGTCCCGATAGTTCTTAATCAAGTCTTAGATGTTTGTTTCTCTCTCTCTCTCTCTCTCTCTCTCTCTCTCTCTCTCTTTCTCTCTCTCTTCTGTGTGTGTGTGTGTGTGTGTGTGTGAAGGTGAAAACGCTTGTGTCTCATTGCTATGAATAGATCTTTTCAAACATCTGTACGTTATAATAAACTGAACCTCGGTTCCCGGAAGTGAGGGTGGCTTGCGAGAATTATTTTCCCCTCGCCCAGAGCAGAAGAAGGATCACAAAGACAAAGTTGGTGGTAAACAGTCCAAAGTAACTCAGAGCAACAAAAGACAGGAACTGGTGAAGAGCCATCATCACCTCTCCCCTCCACTCCACTTCTTGAAATGGCCTATGAAAGACGAATAATAAGAAGCATAATAATTGGTTTACATGTGTACTTCACGCATGCGCACATTGCTTTTCACATCACTTGATCAATTTGACTTCACTCGGAAAAAGCTTGAGATTTGCGACGAAAAGTAAGTTTATTTCAGGTCAGGTAAAATATTTCTTTAGGAAGCTTAAATTGTTCCGTCACAAACTTAAGTGGAAGTTGTGTTAAATTATTTCTCGAAGTAAGGAGATGTAAGTCTCAATAAAATATCATTCGAAAATCTTCGATCGCATAAAATACTACACAGACGCATTCGCGTAATCACTATCAGCCAATCTATAGCTTCGTGGCATATATATATATATATATATATATATATATATATATATATATATATATATATATATATATATTGAACAATGAAAAAATATTAAAAATTAAAATCTTCAGACACACTGGGTTTGTAGATTAATATTCTTTCGTTTTTATTATTATTTCATTTAGATTCCTCGAATAGTTTTCACCAAATGTCCATCATCAGGAGAAGAAATATTTCTGCTTGCTGGTAGCAGTAAACTACAGAAATGAATGTCTTGATGGAGAAAATGAACTTTTGTCTGTAGTTTTTATTTGTTTTTTTTATATTTTTATCTTTTTAACATGAATCTTTTACATATATATATATATATATATATATATGTGTGTGTGTGTGTGTGTGTGTGTGTGTGTGTGTGTGTG